TTTCTGTCCATTTGTATTTCTTAAGAGGATTAGTCATACACTATAACATCGTGAAGTTTCTCTAAATCAAATCTTTCTCTTCTAGTTAAAGTAAAAATGTTGTTTTAAAGAGGAATAAATGTCTGTTTAAATTTTATGTTTTTTGATGTCTTTTTATCTTCCTTTTTTTGCACCCTATGGTAAAAAAGCCTGCAGATAAACCTGTCCCGAATGCAACTTTACAAGTTACAGGTGCTGTTGGTTGGCGAAGGGAAGGCCTTGTATATAAAAAGAACGAGGTGAATGATGATTCTTTCTTTTTTCCTTGCATGATTAGAGAAACGAACTGAATTCTGAACATTCTCTCTGCAGGTCTTTTTGGATATTGTTGAAAGTGTAAACCTTCTTATGTCTTCAAAAGGTAGATAATGGCTTTCAAAGTTCCTCAGTTATTACATACCTCTTGTGGAACCTTATAAACTGTTGGTGATTATAGGTAGTGTTTTGCGCTGTGATGTAACTGGGAAGATTCTTATGAAGTGCTTTCTTTCTGGAATGCCTGATTTAAAGTTGGGTTTAAATGATAAGATTGGCCTTGAGAAAGAGTCGCAGTTGAAGGCCCGTCCAACTAAAAGGTAATTTTTCATGGAAGACTTGAATGATACTCTACAACCATATGATTTATTGATTTATCTCAGCCGTCTAAGGCTACTTTTTTTTTTTTTATTTATTTATTTATTTTTTTTTTATTTTTAAAAACTAGTTTATTTACTTAGCATCATTAACTCTTTCGCTTTCATCTAAAGCAATGTGACAGTGACCAGAACACTTGTTTGGATTAAGTCTAAAAGAATGACATTTGCATACATCGATTTTTTTGCTGAACATTCTAATGAGTTTTCTACTCCAAGAGTAGTTTTGAAATATTTATGAAAGATCAATGGTAATATTAAAAAATTTAAAAGAATGAAGGTATTTTAAAAAATAATTTAGCTCATTTTCTTCTTACTTTCTCTTTTTAATTATTTATTATTCTTTTAAGAGAAAAGACGCTTATACTCTAGATTTGATGTTATTTATTTGATCGTGTATTTGTTGTATACTAGTGAGTCAAGGACAAGGGAAAAGAAAAAAACTACTACGCTGTCTTGTGCAATTAATTCTTGCTATTTTTCTGAACTTCTTTAAGGAGCAAAATATAATTACAAGCAGTTGAGTGATTCCACTTTTCTCATTTTTTGAATTGTGGTGGTGAAGAACAATTTGTCTTAGGTCTTTCTTACATGTTTCCAACAGCTGAGAAGCACGCATGGAATATCATAGAATTCAAGAAGGGATTTTGGTTTCACACGCTTCTTTATATTGTGATGTTTCATTTGTCTAGAACTGTTACTATATTTTAGAGTTAATGTACCCCCCGTTATAATTTCATTTAAAAAGGTATTCATTTTTTTGTTTTATGATTTATTTTGCAGTGGTAAAACAATTGAGCTTGATGATGTTACTTTTCATCAATGTGTAAATTTGACAAGGTTTAACTCAGAGAAGACAGTCAGTTTTGTACCACCCGATGGGGAATTTGAATTGATGAAGTAAGCTTGAATATCTTTATATTTAAATCTGTCTCCTGTGCTGTTTAAAGTCGAGATTCTTAATTGTTCAAGTTTTTTATTCTTTACTTAGCTTTTCCTTTTAATTTTTTTTGAACATCTAGCTTGCATTATCTTTAGTTATTACCATTATAGAGTATACTATCTTCATTTTTTTAAGTATGGAGTTTTTCCACAGTAATGTTTATTGCTTCATCATGTCATGTTCAAGCATGTTATTAGTGTGTAAGTCACTTCGAAGGAATATAGTTCAATTGTTCTAAAAGGAGGTGAAAAACTCTTCTACTCTGTCTGTGTCGTCAAGTTGAAGAATTTCCTTGTTGATATCTGGACATCCATTTCTCTTATTATTTGATGTTGAATAGTTTTCCTTGATTGGTGCTCTTTTAGATTTCATACATTTTTGTACTTACTTGAGTGCTTTTGCACTTATTTTATGGTTATTAGTATATTTGTTATCAGTATGAGTGTGGGAGTTATTAGTTGTGCCCACAAAGAACTCTTAGTGTGCATCTTGTACAAAAAAATTATCCGCCTTATATATTATCTCCCGCGGAGGGAAGGACAAAGGACCCCATCATATTTAAAGAAGGTTGGTAGGGAAAAGGATTAATTTTTGTTTGGATGCATACTGAGAGTTTATTCGATTTTCATGTTTATTCTCTCGTACCTACAATGAATTTCTTCTCCTATTATCTAATATAATGTTCATATCTTCTTTTGATGCAGATATCGTATTACTGAGGGTGTTAATCTTCCATTTCGAGTACTCCCAACAATTAAGGAACTTGGTAGGACACGTATGGAAGTTAATGTTAAGGTTTGTGGTTCTCTAAATTTCATTATCTTAATCATACCAAGTTCTATATTTCATTTTAAGTCCATTCTTAACTGGCCTTCAGGTGAAAAGTGTCTTTGGTGCAAAAATGTTTGCTCTTGGCGTGGTCATTAAAGTTCCTGTTCCAAAACAGACAGCTAAAACTAATTTTCAAGTGACATCGGGTCGAGCCAAGTACAATGCCTCTATTGATTGCATTGTGTGGAAGTGAGTGTTTTCTTTAGCTTTAAATGTGCTCATTGAATCTGGTTTTTTCTTCTTTTCAATACCTGTTCAAATCCTTGCACTTTGTAGATAGATATTTGTGCAGTTAATCATCTTTGTGATCCATGACTATTCTCACGGGACATATTTTGGTCTTAGTTTCATAAGGTGTAATCTCCATTTCACATAGCTTTCTGGAATCATTTTTGTTTTACTTATCACGTGCTTGTTTAGTTGCTTCTTTTCTTTTTCATTATACATGCACTTCATACATGCATACTCTTATATTTGTGCAATTAGGTTGGATTTACGTCGTCCTCTTCATATTATCTACAGTTGTTTTCGATAGATCCCAATTGATAGTAGTCTTCAAATCTAGAATTCCACCTCTAAACTTAATTAAGAAACTCTACACTACGATATTTTAAGAGCGCTTCCCATTTTCTCACAAGATCTTAATCTTCTGTTGAATGAGTATATTATGTTGAGTCTCATGTTTAACGATTTGCAATTGTGGCTTAACTTTCTAATTGTGTTAACTATAGGATCAGAAAATTTCCTGGACAAACAGAACCAACCATGAGTGCAGAAATTGAGCTGATTTCTACGGTGACGGAAAGGAAACCTTGGACACGACCACCAATTCAGATGGAGTTTCAGGTTCTCAATGATTTAACCCTAGCATACTATTTTAGAAATGATGCGTAGATGGATTTATTTTCTAAAAATTTGAAAGGCAAAAAAGAAGAAACAACATTCTAAAATATTGTCATCTTAACGGTTTCATATATATATATAAAAAAGATTCTAAAATGCTACCACTGGGAGCGGTTTCCCATTTGAAACATGGTTCAGATGTTCCTGTGAATTAGGTTTTTAATTTCTCTTCTCTGTTTCATCATTATGTTGGTGGTGACATATTTATTTATCCTTTTGGGTATCAGGTTCCCATGTTCACCGCATCTGGTTTACGTGTCCGTTTCCTCAAGGTATTTGTTTTTTTTTTCTTTTACTACTCGGTAACTGAGCAGTCCATGCATGTGATGTACGATATGTATATAAATATTCTGCATGATGCAACAATTTTGTGTATGGCATGATAGTAGTCGGAAGAATGTTTCTTTTGAGCGGATCTGATAGAATCTTTAAAGGAATACTTGAGGTGGGAGCATTCAAACATTAGACTGGCTTTTTAATTTGTCAGTCTCAATATCACTGGTGGGCATGCTAGATGTAATTTCTCACCATATGTTTATGTGAAATTTAAATTACTAGTGTCTTTTTAGCATTATTGATAATCATATGAATAGGTTTACAGAAAATTAGTTATGTGAGTGGGTTTAAGACATGTCTGACCCGAAGTTTGATTACTAGAAAGTTCTCAAGTAATATCTTCCCAAAATGAATCCTCATTCTCAAATTGTTCTTCAGGTGTGGGAGAAGAGTGGTTACAACACAGTTGAATGGGTTCGTTACATAACTAAAGCTGGATCATACGAGATCCGGTGTTAGAATTACAAAGATCTAGCCACGAAGTATAAAGAACGAAAAGAAATTGATTGGATGGACATAGAATGACCAAAACATTCTCGTCGACACCATCGTTATTCAAGACAATCAAGAGAAGGTTCATGGAGAGAGTGGAGGTGGTTTTTGATGGATCATTGGAGCATGTTAGTTGCTTTTGTTTTGTTGTCCTACACCTTTGAGCATAGCTATTTGATGTTTATACTGTTAGAGCATATGTAAGCCAAACTTCTATATTCTTTTCTCCCTCCTTTCTGCTTATTTTTTCGACATTAGATAAACGAGATCATTCCTTGTGGCTGCCTTTCTGTTGTAATCAAGGCCTTGTAGTGAACACCTTTTGTTGGATGAATTTCTTTGATTGCTGGTTTGTAATCGACCTTGTGAATTTTATGATAATACTTCTTTCAACTTAATATTATATTGTTACGAGTTGATGTACTGAAATTGGTAATTTTTAAAAAAAATTTATTTGAAAGAAAAGTCATTCTTGATTGATATATCATGGGGTATTATTTACCAAACGTAAAAAAAAATGATCTAATAATGATAGATATAATCGACATAGAGATAATTAGTGATAAAAAATAAAAATAATAATAGATAAATGATAAAGATCTGTTATTAATAGACAAAAATCTATCGGTGATATAGTGATTGCGTTGTAACTAAAAAAAAAAAAACTATTTATGAAAAACTATTTAAATAGATTAGTCATTTTTTTAAAAAAAATTATCATATTTGAAAGCTATTTATTAAAAATTTCGAAAAAGTAGGTTTTTATTTATTTATTTATATATATATATATTTTAAAAACAACAAAAATTGATATTGGCTTAAGTGCGGTTGCAGTTTACCGCGAGTGCATAAGCAGCTACAAGAAGACGGATAATAAGAAGGAAATCTCCAACGACCCCAGAATTCAGAAACCAGATCATCAAATTCCGCTTTCTTTCTTTCTTTCTTTCTCACGCTCTCCATCTCTATCTGTGATTCGATCAGTTCGATCGTTGCAGTGTCTGGAGATGCGGTTCTTGAGGAAGATTGCAGGATTTCTAGGGTTTTCCAAGGATGATGCTCACGACGTCAAGCACGAAGACGAAGAAGTTGAGTCCGGTAATCAGGCTCCCAAACGTGTCCATATGCAGGAAACTGGTCCTCGGAGGGGTTTCAGCGTCCCTGTCCAGGTCGCTGTCAATGTTCCTCAACCCGGCCCTATTCTTGTTCCTTCTAGTTCAGGCGATGGTGGAGTTCAGGTTCATTCTATAATCTGTTTTATTGTCTTTTAATTTTCGAATGTCTGCTGGATTGTTTGTGTTTTCCTGTGTTTCAGAATAAATTCCGCAATTTTTCTCTACGGTGAGTCTATGGTCAAAGTGAGCGAGATTTTTTTTACATGGTTTCGCCGAAAATCTGTTATCGTCATTGTTCGAACTAGGTCAATGAGACTTTCAAATTTTCTGCTGCTTCCAATAACACGTCGATTATTGGATTTCCTGGTTTTGTCGGTGGATGCCAATTATATTTTCTTCTGCAAAAGGTTTCGTACTTTTGTATACGTTAGCTCAGGCTATCTGTAGCCATAACTTCTTTTCGAAATTGCTTTCGTTTGGCATTTATGAAGTTTTTCTGGTAACCTCGTCATAATAAATGCTTGTCAACTGTATTTAATCTTCGCCATTATTTTGTTCAACTAATTCTTCCCTTATAAATGCTTGTCAACTGTAAAAAAAAACTTATGATTGTCTTGCTAATGAAGGCGCGGGTGATTGAATATGATAGATCTATGTGTTGTTTCTATGAATACCATGCAGATAAGAGGCAAAAGCAACAATAGAGGGTAAATAGAATTGAACTAGGAAGAGATAAACGTAAGCAAGTAATTTCCGTTTCCGTTTTATTGATTTTGAGTCTCATATGATAGTATCTGTGTTCAAACGGGCTGCATTAACTGTTAAATAGACGCCAATTCCTACACGGACTGTCTACAAGGGCATTGGTGACTAAAGAAACCCACTTTCCATAGAAATTAGAACCTAAAGCCACTTCTAGCTATAAGAAGACTTCTAGTTATACACATCGACGTTCTAACTAAGCTGAAAATGGAATAAGAGAACTAAAACCATAGCCAAACAAAATGATTTCCAGAGTAGTTCCTAGAACCGAGAAACCTTTTGATGCAAAATTAAGGTTTAGGCTATTTCTTCTCTATCCACCAAAGTGATTTGCCAATTGAAATCATCACCTTATCCATCTGTATCGTTATATGTTTGCACGGTTCTACATGTCATGTTGTAAGTTGGGTGAGTTCCTCCTCTAAGAATTTGCTAGTACAAGAAGTAGGGTACTGAGGGATATCATCTTAATGAGGCCTCAACTCTGTTTCGTTTGGCTAGTATGAATTTCACTGTTCTCATGATGATCTCCAGTCATTACATGGTTTCTAATATTTGCAAGCTTTCCTTCTCCTTGTAATCATTCATTGGTACAAGGACTTGTTTATGGTGAAAGTGTAGTGATGGTTTTTGTCATTTGCAAGGTTGCAATGATGACATGTTGCATGCGTGTTAATTTTTGCCATATATTTCCTTTATTCAGGGTTTGACGTGGTATGCCAAACGTCTTCGAGTTGATGAAGATGGAGATGTAGCTGAACAGTTCCTCGACGAGGTCTTACCTGAGACGCCAACCAGTACTACTACAGACCATCACAAGCCATATCCACGGTTTCAGATAAACAATAGAAATAGACTAGCTAAAGTAAAGAACCAGGTTATATTGCAGGAGGGTAAACTCCAACAGTGTATTGAACATCAAGGTAGATTGCTATTGGTATGAAGGGGAAAGAAAAAGAAAACCTGAGAAATGATCCCTTCAGCCAATGGTGTTCCAGGTTCAGTTTATTAGTTTATTACACATGGTGGTCATTTTATGAGGATGATCTACCTCGTTTGGTTACAAAAAAAACTTCCCTATTCCCTCGAGAGTACCGAAGGTTGCATCAATTATGTTAAGTGGGCCTTACATTAGAAGCTTTGGTATTAGCACGGTTCTTTCTTAAGTGTTACAATCGAACTGCTGATCATGGAACATATGTTGTGACGCCCAACAGATGGGAGATAAGTAGAACACAGGAATAGGCACTGACTCCTTCTTCTTCAATTGTGATAGGGTTGCATTTACAGACTCCTCTCTGTATTAGGTGTATAAGTTGAGTGATTGATGTTTTTTAGTATAGTCAGCGAAGATGATTGTGAATCTATGGATGTGATGAAAATAAACTTAAAATGCACAATAATGTTTTTTTTTTTTTTTTTTTTTTTACCATTTAAAGTTAATGATTTGATTCGACTTTAATTTTTATTTTGTGTGTTATTGGTTTTTCTTCATACTCAGTGTACTACATTGTAGCTTGTACCAGTCATTTGGGTCTGCATAAATTAAGTAGTATTTTTCCTTTGAAAAAAAAAAGAACTTTATTTTAATTAAAATTTATATTTCTAATAAAGCTTAAAATTAGTTCTTGATATTTTTTTTTCTTAAAAAATGATCTCTATTAAAATTTAAATAAATAAAGAAAAATAATTATTCGATAATGAAAGTCAACTAAATGTACGGTTAATACGGTTACTACAAATTATTGGAATAGAATCTGTAACACCATATAACTGCTTCCTCTTTCCTCTTCAATTTTTCCGATTACGTTATCCATCACTACACCTTCACACAACTCGCCGGTGCGTCGAAAATTCAGCCTTACCTATGGACGTTCTTCTTCCCTGCACTTCCTTCCGTTCCGTAAATCTCAAGCCGGAATCCTCCCGAAGTTTCCTTTCGACGAATCGAAACCGTCGCTTTTCCGACCTCTTGAAATGTCGCCGAAAAACGATCTCGACTGAGCTGCAGGCTACTGTTGACGTCGCCGGCAGGACCGACGACGGTTCTGCTTCGATTCCGACTCATAAGGTTACTGTTCATGATAGAGAGAGAGGCGTTGTTCATGAATTCGTTGTTCCTGAGGTACAGCACCATTTTCAGTTTGCTCTCCTAGAAATGGCATCGACCATTTAATTTAATTTTCGCTTCTTGAGCAACTTCTTCAGCTTTGTAGAATCGATTAAATGTTTTTCACCTGTCTTTTTAGATTATTAGTTGTTAAGAGTTTGGGGATTCGAAGTTTTCTTTTCCCCCCATTTTTAGTGTGTACTGGTACATGGTATTTTATTGTATAATGGTTATGAATTTGAGGCGCGAGTAATAAATCCAAATACTGCAGGATCAGTACATATTGCACACTGCCGAAGCTCAGAGCATTTCCCTTCCTTTTGCTTGCAGGCACGGTATTGTTCTCTAATTCCCCAACTATCGATGAACTTCGCATATTCTTGCTCTAAGACATGTTTGAATATTATGTTAATGGCAAACACCATTGAATGTATGGGTGTTGGATCAACAATTTCGCTTGTCTCTGATGTTCTGTCCTCTGTCACTGGAAAACTGAGATCTGTCATAAAAATTTGTAGTTACTTAAGATCGTGGATTTATTTACCCCTAAAGTTGTTTCATTACGTAATCCTATGGTAAGCATTGATCATTTTGGATGAATTATGTGCTATGATTTGAAAAAAGATACACACCCATGTATAGAAAATCTATCTATAATTTTGGTACATTTCATTGATTTACCTACATTAGGTTTCTGTCAAAGAATGTAAGTGCAGGTTCATGGTCCTGTTGTGTAAAAAACCGAATAACCGAATAGTTTACAACCAAACAAAAACCATTTCAAAATGAAAAAGCTCTCTTGCCCTTCTTTCAACTGATTCTTCCCTGCAATGAAGCCATTTTCTGCATCCTTTTGATCTCCATTATCGGTACATATCATGTTCTGAAAGTATTTGTTTTATGACAGGTTGTTGTACTAGTTGTGCTGTTCGAATAAAATCAGGCCAAATTAGACAGCCTGAAGCCCTTGGAATATCTGCCGAGTTGAAATCAAAGGCAATTCCTTTACTTGATTCTAGACTTGATTTTTCATGGGGTAAAATCTTAGATTATGCATCAGCATGTTCCAGTCAAGATTTAAGTGGAAGCTTTTCATTCTATTTATGAATTTGAGCCTGATTTGGTATGGTAGAAGCAGCTGCTGCTCATTGAGGATGGGAATAACATAGTTGAGTTTGTATTCTACTGGTTACTGGATAGAAAAAGGAAGAATAATCAAGAGCTGGTCCTTACAGGTCTCACTAGCAGAATATGTAGTTCTTGGCAAAATCATACAAAAAGATAAAAGAAAAAGAATACTGCAATTTGTATATCTATTTACCAAAATGCTTACCAGTGATTACAAAGGAAGAAGTTAGTGCAGTAGTAAAACCATTGACAACTTTCTGGATGATAACTGCATTGCTAATTGATATTCCTTATTATTCTCTACACTGCAGGGGTATGCACTTCTTTGCGTAGGTTTCCCAACCTCGGATGTTGAAGTAGAAACACAAGATGAGGATGAGGCATGTTTTCGAATATCTGCCACTCCTTAAGTTGAACCCAAATTCTGTTTGTTTGCCTAATTTTATATATTAGTCATTTGGAGTTGCTATGATCATTCTTCATGCAAAAATTCACTACAATGCAGGTATATTGGCTTCAATTTGGAAGATATTTTGCCCGGGGGCCAATTGTAAGTTCTTTACTTCCTTAAATCTATCAAAATTTACTGGAGATGTGAAGTATTGGAAGAAAAATACAAAGGAAATATAAATCATGTTTTTTTTTTTTTTTTTTTGCGGTTATGTTAAACAATTTATTCAATTTTCCAGGAGAGAGATGACTATGCTCTGGAGTTGGCTATGGCTGATGAGTAAACTATTGATCCTGGAGGATCTATGGACTGAGACATGAATGGTTTATTTCGAATCCTTTCTTTATTTGTATGGTTTTTGACTGTCAATATCATAGGAGATTCATAGTAATTACCACTGTTTTTTTTTTTTTTTGACATTTTCTTTCATCACTAAGCTTCTCCAAAAGCCTTTTCTTGGTCGATAGAAAGTTTGTCTACTCTTGAACTAACCACACCCTCTCTTTTTGTAGGTTTGTCCCCTCATTGTGAACTCATAACTACTACAGTTTCAGTCCAAGAAATATGTAAGGAAAAAAAGGCCGAAAAAGGGTAAAAATTGGAGCAAGAAAGTACTGTCCAATGATGACAACTTCAAATTTCTTGTTACATTGTGAGACTCAGAATGTCTGTGTTGTGGATCCTAAAATAAACTAGAGATATGAAAGAAAGTAGAGAGGTTTGAGGGAAGTAATTGACCCATATTCATGTCAAGTTTTTCTAATATAAAATAGCAGGTAAAAAATCTCTATTTTGGGTAATTTTTTTAATGAAGGATGCATAAAGATGAAAGTTTATGACAAATTTAGATATTTTGAAGGAGAGTATGCTTTTGATTAGTAAACTTCCCCTGAGCACCTTGACGAAAATTGGTGGATATTTGATTGGTTGAGTTGGTGCCATTATTACACAAAAGATGCTCCTGCAAGGAAAAATGCTGTCAATTTGGTTGACATGACTATTCATGATCAAATCAACTGTACAAAGCATTGACATATGATGACTATGGTTAAATTCAAGTCTTATTATTCCAATTTCATGACACTGTCTTCGATTTGTTGGCTAAGCACACTCTGTTTTTACTTAGACGACTTGGACATTCCTCTTTTCTACTTTTTGTGTTTGGACAATGACTCTCTTATTGTCAACCTCACATTTTGCTGTTTTGCTCTTACTTGTCTACTGGGAGAGAATAAAAAAGTGGCATCTTTTCATATGCCATTTCCTCTTACTAATGCTTTCTTTCTAAGTTGTTAGGTCAATGTCAGCTTGAAGAACTCCAAGCAGAAGAGGAAAATCAACGGAAAATCAGATTCCCTTATCAACTAACTCTTTGCTGCTCAATAATTCAGGTCCCCCACTCCTTTCTCCAAATCGTTATAATGCTTGACCTTCAAAACTGTGGTGCCTATTGCAAGCTTGCCTTGTTTTGTCTTCACTTTAGTCCCCTTCACATGCATGATTATGATCTTTTGTATGCCAATGGTGACTCATGTACCGTTCCGTTCTAATCAAAGTCGATTGTTATATAACAACGTATCAAACCATCTATTTTAACTGAAAGATCAATTCGAGCTGCTAAATTAAAGGGTGATCTGAATGAAGATTACTAGATCTAGATTGATTTGCACACCTCATTGACCCACCTAGAAATTAATGGAGAGCTACCTTGGGAGCCTCTAGTGGGTTTCATAGTGCAAAATAGATAAATCACATTGCATTCTAGCAATTTAAAGGGTAGAGATTGGACTCATTTGTGGGGTGAGGCACTTTTGGTTGCAGTATCAAAAAGTACTGATCTGCTTAAAATTTGATAGCAAAACATTGGACAATCTCAGCACCCAAGGGGCCCTATTCATCTGATGACATGATAACTTACACCATGTGAGTGAAAAAAGAGACAATTATAGTTGTGTAATTAACTTCCTTAGGATGCTTTCACTGTATGCTCGTAGCTCTCTAAGCTCACTCGACCCCGTCAAAGGGACCACCTATGTTACTCACTTTTCATTTTGGTCCTCGACGGTTTTTATCCTATGGTTTTTAACTTTCAATGGTAATCATCTATCAGAGTATAACTCAATTGATTAAGACATCTTCAACTACACGTTTGTGATATTGCCCGAGATTAATCTGTCTCAAATGAAAAGAACCAAAACGTAACTTTGAAAGAACCCTCAAAACTTAAATGCAAAGGTTGTAGTTTGGTCCTATTCTTTCATTCTCTCTCTCTTTCTCTTGGTCCCAACTCAGCAGAACTCACATGGCTCAGGTCAGTTGGAATTTGAATTGACCGAATAGCACAATGTAGTGATAATGAAGCAAACAGTTGACAAGTCAAAAAGCTGATATCTCATATTAACTCTCTTCTGCAGTTCACAAAGAAACCAAACTCCATCTTTATCCATCACTTATATTACACTCATCACAGTATAAATTGTTGCCCAAAACTACTTAAACCATGCAAATATCATTCAAGCACTGTGAAGATGAAGGAAAAAAAAAAAAAAAAACGACATTTAATGTTCACGCGCAGAAATACAGCTCTATACAAGTGAATATGAGAGGAACCTCCGCTTGTCGAGTTGATCAAACATGGCGGAGGGCGATACGAATGATGCAAAGCTGCAGTTATCGAGTCGGGGACAACCATGTTTACCATAACTTTAGCTGTTAGGCTTTTTGATCGACT